CCTTATTATCTTAAACGCTATAATTAAGCAATATATAGTTTAATGAGTACACTATAATTGGCCACGAGGATTTAGAACACTTTAAAATTGTCAGTTTGCCAAGAAACGTGAAACTTAAGGTCAAAATAATTATGAAGGTAAGATTAAATCGAGAGATAGTCTGGGTCTAATGGTAGTTGTGGCTATGGCAATTCTATGGATGGTGAATTCGCGGTAACCAGCGCCGACATCAGATGAAAAGAAGGGTTCATTACTTCATCTGGGCACTCCTGGTTTCCAAGGACCATATTTTATCCTAATAGGAGAAGAGTTGTTCAGCAGGAAAATCCATCAGTTGTGATTAATGTTTTAAATATCCATTTGTTTTGTTATAACAAACTAATGAAGGCTATATATGAAACACATTTATATCAATGACTCCTATCATAAGTGAGTGTTAATGGGTGGCTGTTAAGGCTCCGAATCTAAACTGCATTGTAGAGTTAAAATCTAAGCAACCGTATTAGCAAGTAAGGGATTGATTCATAGCTAAATCTAAGTGGCCAAGATTAAAAGAAGACTTAACAGCAATAAAACCAAGAGGGCTACCGCTCGAAAACACTGAAGAATGATCAAGATTGCATGAGAGAGTGCAGTCACAGCTAAATCTTCCTATATCGTATACCTGAGACCATGTTCCGTGAGGTGAATGGTGAATGGATTAGGTTGGGTGACCTCCAAGGCTGTCTGTGCTTCCTCAAAGAATATTCGGTTGTAAGAAGACCACATCTCGCGTTATAGATATACATGATGCAGGTGTGTCCAGAGGGGGGTTTCATGAGGGGGCAAGTTGCGCCATTAAAATTTTTGAGAGGGCAAACTTCGATGGGATTATGAATTTTCGGACTAAGGGACAAGGAGATAACAGGGAAACAGACCGCAGTAAGTGTAATTATATATGATCTATGATTTTTCTAATTCTACCTTAGCTTACTCTGTTTTTAAGAAAAGTGAGCAATAAAATATCTTGGGAGGAGGGGAGGAGGTAGGTTCTTGCGCCATCGATCTTGGTAGGGATGGGCACCCATGACAGCGCAAATGGAAAAAAAAAAATGTATATGCATATATATTTAAAATTTAAACTAAACAGTCATGAGAAACCAGGAACTACTCTTCTGTGACACATACAATAAAATTCTAAAACTAAAGCACGTTGTAACATCATGCACATTAACTAGTGATCCCAGAACAAGACATGACATATCAACCAACCGCAATAACCGAGGCATTAGGTGACAAGAAAGAGTAGGTTATCAATCAAGTTTTTTAAAGGACTTTATTATTTTAAATTTGATATAACTTTGTAATAATCCAACGGGACAGATAAGGATGAAAATAAATAGAAAAATGTAAAATTGGAATGAACAGAGTCATATATTCTTCCGCTTTGGTGTACCAGGTTGTCATAATTATCTTTCTTCTTCATTACAGTTTGCTGCCAGACATCAAACTTCGACATAACCTCAGTTGGCCAAAGAATAATGATTCAGTGATACGGGTGCAAGGGGTGATTCCCAAAAAGAGAATTTTAACCAGCTCCAATACTGTTTGTCAAAGCAGCCACTATAACTAAATACAATTTTGGAAGCCTGCCACCAACTACTATTACGTCAAATATTCATTTTCTTAGTTGTCGGATTGGCTGGAAATGAAGAATAATCCTACAGAATGTGGCTGTAAAGTCATCTTTTACAGTCTGTGTCCATTTATGACGATAAAAATACAGCACCAATACGTCCTCCTAAATGCATTTCCTGCATACGAGCTCTTAGATCTAGAGAGGCAAGCTAAAAATACGTTGTACTATGTCAAGGACAATCTTGTGTAAATAACGCCGAATCACTCTTGAAAAGTGGCAGGTTAATAGGAGTTAATTAGACCAACTTGATATTGAAGGATTGGTGACAAACTGCGGTGGAAGTATTATGATTCATTCATCAGTAGTTTGCCATTTTAAAATGTGAATAATTTATTTTGTTTTTTTAAGTATGTAAAAAAAAAACACTAGTTGATCCCAAAACCTGGGTATCTATTAGTGGAACAAAATACGCTGTCAGAATTTCTTAAGTTATTCATGAATAGTAAACTAATTGACCGTACAGAAAAGATGAAATTGGTAAAAGACTAAATTTACTGTTTATTAAGGCCATTTGCAGTCAGAATTAACCTTCAGAATATAGTTGTGGTTCATATTAACGTTGAAACTTTCTCTTAAAGTGTCTATTACCGGTACATTTACCTTTGGTACATATTTACTAAACATTACAATGGAATATATTGTATTCTATATTCCATATATCTGCCTCCAGTCCCACAAGAATGGTTTTAGTTTTCATAATTTTTTCTTGCTGATAATTTTGGGGTAAGAACATTACAAACACATTTGTTCTTTACGAGTTTTTAGTAACAAATTAAATAGACAATGTTTGCTGACCTCTAGATTAAAAACGCCCCAATTCTAGTAGTTTTCATAAATAAAAAATTTGTAAATTATGATGAGATTAACTGTTAACGAAGTTTCAGGCGGATGTTAATAATTTGATAAAAATGGGTCTGTACATGGACTACATAGAGATGGAAGATATTGAAGGTAGACAAATTTACAAAAGTTTAAAAAAAATGTCCTCTCTCGACCGCGAGGTAACTCAACATATCACCTAGGGCAGATTAACGTTTAAAGCCTTCTACAACAACAAAAAAATAAAAACTGTAATGTTTTTTGTAATGTTACTGTTACTGTAATGTGTTTGTAATGTTCTTACCCCAAAATTATCAGCAAGAAAAATTATGAAAACTAAAACCATTCTTGTGGGACCGGAGGCAGATATCCAGAATATAGAATACAATATATTCTATTGTAATGTTAAGTAAATATGTACCTAAGGTAAATGTGCTGGAAATAGACACTTTAAGAGAAAGTTTCAACGTTAACATGAACCACAACTATATTCTGAAGGTGAATTCTGACTGCTAATGGCCTTAATTAACAGTAAATATATTCTTTTATCAATTTCATCTTTTCTGTTCTGTCAATTAGTTTATTATTCATGAATAACTTTTTTTCTACCAGTAATAGACACCCAGGTTTTGGGGTCAACTAGTTTTTTTTATATAATTAAAACAACAAAATAAATTATTCACATTTTAAAAAAAGAAAATGGCAAGCTACTGATGAATAAATCAAAATTTCATCACTATCTCCTAAGGTAGACCTTAATATACTCTTAAGTATATTAACGTAAGTTAGGGGTGCCAATCCTCCCCAAGGTCAATGAAGCAAAAATATGACTCTTCCCCTTCTAAGATAAATTATTGCTCACCTTTTCTTAAAAACATAGCAAGCGAAAGTAGAATTAGAAAAATCGTAGATGATATACAATAATACTTGCTGCAGCCTGTTCCATGTTTTCTCATTGCCATAACCCTGTCGCAATTTGCCACCTCAAAAATTCAAAAACCCGTCAATATATACCTCCTTCAAAAATTTTGATCCCCATGAAACCCCCTTCTGGGCACCCTTGAGGTCAATAATTAGGAAACCCCTGAAACAATGATCCAGCAACATTAAAAAATTAACCAATCGGCTATTTTGGGGTGTTATCACTTAAGGTTCAGGCATCACACTTTTATGTGTTCTAGCTTCAAACCTACTATTGCATTCTATTTTGACTGTATAAAGCTTATTACCTGTTAACAAGTCCAAAACTGCCTAATATTGGTACAGTGTCTATTATTGGTACATTTACCATATATGTTTGGTTCTTCTGACAGTTGTTTTATTAATAAAATGATAATAAATAGATATTTCATTAAAATTTTTATTTCATTAATTAATAAAGGAAGGAGATGGTCCAGGGTGGCGGTCATAAATAGGCTAAATAGTGGTAAAACTATTTTTATTAGAAGCCGACGTTTCAACCCGACTTTGCAGGTCTTCTTCAGGGAGGTGTGTTCAGCTAGGAGTTTCACTTAGAACTGAGTGAAACTCCAGTTCTATTTATGACCGCCACCCTGGACCATCTCCTTCCTTTAGAATGCAACGGTCAACTATTAAATATTCAATATTAATTAATTAATCATTAGTTATGATTTCTTTATTAACATTATATTATTAACCATTATCATTCTCAATTGAGATCATGAAATATGATCAATATTAACTTTTTTTTTCTTCACCATAACATAAGAAATATTTTTAGACCAACTTAATATTATGTTATGTTCATCAAAAATATGCCATCTTGAGAATCGTTTAATATCTCAGAAACAAAACTAATAAAAATTCATTTTAAAATATTTTATAAAGATGGACTTCGAGGAAATAAGGATTCTAATAATATTTTCCCAAACATTTGAAGTCGGAAAATGGTGATTTCTCATTTTCTGGAAAGAATAGCTCTTTTTTGAAAATTCGTATATTGAGAACTATTGAATGTGGAGAACCCTTAAATCTCGACTTTTAGCAAATGTATTCTACTTTTAAAAGGGCACATCTAAAGTTTTTGGTGCAATGTGTTTTAAAGATAGCAATGCTGAATGAAAATGAACAAAACTTTTCAATCGTTTAAATATCTCTTGGATTCATTTATTTTTAATTTTTACTTCTTTTCTTGGACTCAAGATGGAGAGCAAATGTTAGGTACCTTTCTGATATTTAAAGATGTTTTTACTAATCATCTGTCAATCAAGATATCTAGTTATTTTATATATTTATTATAATTTATAATTTGTTGTAAAAGATTTTTCCTTGAAATAATTAAAATTTTTAAACAAATTGTATTCCTTCATCTTAAATTTGAACCAGTATAGTTATACATAGTTAAAAGAGTGATATAAATTTATATTCCTCTTTTAACTATATTAAATATGTAATCATATAATATTTATTACATATTTTTATTAATACTTTATAACATATCAAAAAAATAAAAATTAATTTGCATTTATATTAAACACTAGATATGGACTCAGTGATTAGTCAAATTGAAAAATTGAACAGCGATATCCCAGAGGAAGTAATAAAGCGAGCAAAAGATGCCATCAGAGAAGATGAATCAACAAAAACACAAATGTTAGATCAATTTAAACATTGGATTACTAAAAATAAAAACCTTCAAGATGTTCGAACAGGTAATTAAATTTCCAACCTAGGAAATAAAATATTCCTTTTTTTTTTTCTTTTGTAATTTAATTATTCTATATGTTTTTTACTAGATGACAATTTTTTACTCCGCTTTTTGAGAACTAAAAAATATTCTATGCTATTGGCGCAAGACATGCTTCTTAAGTATCTTAATCTTAGGCAGACATATCAATATTTAGCCTATAATTTGGATTTTCTTGAGCCATCTGTTTTAGAACTTGTTAATAAAGGGTAAGTCATGAATCCATCTTTTTATCAGAGGCATCCAGTTATTATATACTGTATCAACAGCATGATTTTGTTTTTTAGATATTTATTTCCATCCCCAATAAAAGATAAAAATGGAAGAACTGTTATAATTGGAACATCAGGTTAGTATTTTAATTATCTATGTAGATAAGTAGTTCTAAGTTCAATGGAATTCTTCAAATAATACAAAATGAAACGTGTTAGAGGAAATATATAAATACTATTATTTATTGAATAGTTGAACCAGTTACTTTAGAAGGTTGTGAATTCAACTGAACTGAATTGTGAATTCAACAAGTGAAATTTGTGGTCCATAAATCTATTGTTATGATTACTATTTTATCGTAATAAAATAAATTATGATTTTTGTTTTTATGGAATAAAACAGAATTTATTATATTTTGTTTTTTAGAAATAGGCAAATTGGCAAAGTTTTGTTGTAATAATAAATTTTCGTGCACCCTAATTTATTTTATTTTTTTTAATTGCTGAAGTGTTTTTATTGAATTTAAATAAATGATATAATAATTTACTGATAGATTCATTAAAATTTGCATAACTTTCTAGTTTCCTTGGTTTTTTTTTTATATTGAAGAATAAAATATTCCTCCCTAATCTCATTTTAGAGAGGGAATCTAAGATATTCGATTAGAACAGTCAGTTTATTATTGATTGTTGTTTAGATATTACTCTTAATTGTTATCTTATTAAAATAAAATATACAAGAGGGAGGCTGGAAATTGGAATTTCGCCAGGGGGATATGTTTAATTTTGGTTCCTTTTCTTTCACTTTTCACCACCGCCATTAATAAAATTCAACATGTTCTATTAAGATTTTAGGTAATATATTTTAAAATAAATATCAGCATTAAATAATGTTAACTTGAGTCATTAACTGAATTTAAAAAAGATGTTCAGTTAATGAAATTTAAGATTAAATGTAGAAAAAAATATTATTTACTTCAGCAAAAAAAAAAAAAACAAATTCGCCATACATTGAAAATTCTGCCACTCTGAGGCTTGTACACCCTTAACCTCTTCTCAGTTACAGTTCTGCTCAAGAGATACAGATTGATAATGAGGTAAAAAAATAATCATTTCTTACATTTGATCAACAACGAACAATATCGACAGAATAAGATATGTAAAATAAGTTATCAATGAATTGAAAATCTAACTTTTGTTAATTTTCAGAACCATTCGACCCACATCGGTACACCCACATTGATATGACAAAAATGCATGGAATTACATATGAGGCTTTATTAGAAGATGAAGATAATCAGATCTTAGGATTCACTCACTTCGGTGACATCAAAAATGTGTCTCCTGCTCATTTGACTGTTTGGTCACCATTGGAATTCCCTAGAGCCTACAGATGGGCAGAGGTATAAAAATGTTTCATGTTTATAAACTGATTGTGTAAAGTAATATTCATGAAGTGTGTAATGGTTGCAGTCAACTTTTAAAATTATTAATAACCAAATTATAAAAATCAACTAGTGTTGGACACATTATCAGAAAATTTTGAGGTATTATAACAATAATTTAATGTTCAAGTGATTAACATAAATTACTCAGTAAACATTTAATATTTTTCCGAATAATTCACAATATCCTTCAGTAATAAATAATTGATTTACAGTTTGTTATATTGTTTTGAATTTGGAACAATGATCATCTTTCTCTGTCCTGGTATTAAATTATCAATAATGCTAAACTATGTGAAAAGTTATATCAAAACCATTTTAAATCGAGGAGACCCAAAAGCTTCATGAAAGGAACCAATTAACTAATTATTTTATTATTTTAAACTGAAAACCACCATTTATTCAATAATCTTTAACTTTAACTGAAAATGCATTGGTCAATTAATTGACCCCCAATCCTAGTAATGGGTAAACTTCAAATTTACAATTATTTCATAATAAAAGTTACAGTTTATTGCCAACTCATATACACATCATAATTAATTTAGTAACTTCTAATTAATCTGGAAATGAAAGATAATATTGCCTGTAAAACCTTTGTCTTTATCTAGAATCTATCTAGAAAACATTGAGGAATTCAGTGTCATTCAAAAATACTTGGACATTTTCAATATTCCATTTAATTCCAGTTAATCAATGGTTGTTTCTCAATGTTTTAGAATTAGTGTAGTAAATAATAAACAATTCATCAGGATTCATCCAGATGAAATAGAAGAAAATTACAGAACAAAAAAGAGGTTAATGCTTTTTATTATTATTATTATGATAGTCAATGTTTCTATACAACTATTCTGGCCATCTTCAGGACTACAACACAGATATGAAACAAAGATAGTAAAAATAAAATAACAATATTAATTGAAAAATTATAAAAAGTAAGATGGTATGGTAATAAAGATATATGAAAATGAACATTTATTGGCATGGTACAAAAAAGAAAACTAATAGATAAACACTTAGTTCATTCCTCCACTCCTCTGAGACTTCTGTCCTACAAGCACGTCCAACTGAATACCAAGCTTTTCACTCTTTCTTATTTGATATTCACCCTAATATTCAAAATTGTGATGTGTAATGAACATTAAATTGTTCTAAAATGATTACACTTCATTTTAAAACAGTATTGTTCTATCATTATAATGAAGGAAGTTCACATAGAATAATAATTGCCCCTTCATTCTTTTCAGTGTTTCAAATATTGATGGAATCTTAATTTTACCTTTAGAGTGGATATGGACTATAATAGAAGAGTGTAACTTAACTAATTAGTGTAACTTCATTAATATATGCCTACTGTCCTTTGAACAATACAATCTTATTTAAATTATCTAAGCAATTTGCAATTAAATTATCTAAGCATTAATTTGTTTATCTGTGTTTCATATTTGTTTATAAATTATAATTTTAAATTATTAACTGTATTAAACAAAGGAGATAATTATTTTCATTTCTGTTGCAAAAATATATTTTAAGAATTAATATGCTTCTTCCTGACACTGGGACATTATTTTAAGAAAATAAGTTATTTAAAAGATGTTGATTTTAATAGCAGTATAAATTTTCATTAATTTTGCATATCTCACTACCTATGGCTTTAATAATACAAGAATAAATTAGAGAAAAACAAAAATAACATTCATGATAGTGTGATTTTTATTATATCATTATTTTAGCATTTAAGAATATCAGTTAAATCAGTAGTGGCCTTAGACATTCAATGCCGCCGGGCAATGATGTCATCCCTCCTAATCTCAAAACATTTAATTTAATTCTTAAGCTGTTTTATACTATGTATTATTTTAATTTTATTTCATTCAATATTTCTCTAATACTGTTGCTTGATTAACAGGCTAAAATTGACTATTTTAATATGTTTTGTACTTTTTGTAATTGACGAGCACACCTGATGATCGATACCCTGGGACATTTGTCCGAGTTGCCTGGCCCTAACACCCTATCACTGAGTTAAATGATTAATGAGCCCTCCTCAGTTTTTGTTGAAATTAATCCTCATATTGCCCTAAAAGTGGGTAAAATTTTTTAAAATTTAATTTATTTCATGTAGAAGGTGTCTTTTTTTAAAAATAAGTTCATCCCAGAATTTTGAAATCCTAACAAATAACATATTGCTGTCAATAATTTTTTTAGAAATTTGTTGTATATATATTTTTAGTATTTTTTTTTTCATTTTAATGTGAACTAGCTCATCCCTCCTCCTCCCCCCAAGGTTACAACCATGGCACACCTACTCTTACAAATGAATTTATGCATTTCATGTATTATTGTTAATATTGATGTTACAACAATGATCAAAACTACAAATCATAATAATAATAATAATACCAACTGAAACATTGCCTGAATTGTAATGTTTGTTTCACTTGAATTCGTTCTTTAATTGTAAGAGTCATAGGCTATGTTCATATACGGGCAAATTCCTCAGTTGTTGGCACCCTTAAGGAAACTTAAAATGTGTTTGTCCTGTTTTCAATCGCGTAGGCACTTGGTTTAAATTAGTAAAAATCTCTAATTTCAAAATATATCTGTGAAACAGTGTCTTTCATTTATTTTTGTATAGTAAAACGAAAAAATGTAAAAATATCCATATGCATCAGTTTTCAGCACCCTGAAAGACCAGTTTTTGGTACCCATTTCCCATTTTTCAAAAACCATAAAGAATTAAATCTGGCAGTCTTCAGAATGAAAGGACTACGATGATATTGCGAATGAATGTGTGTTTCTTGCCAAAACCATAATACACATCTTCCAGAGCAATACCTGTCAAGGTTCTAATCTTCAGATTTTCGAATTATAAAACTAAATAAATGGTAGGAGATGCTAGAATATGCGAGTGCAGAAGGGATTTCCTCTTCAAATTGTCAGCTTTAGACCATTACCAATCCTTAATATTCTTCAATAACTTCAGTGGGTGCCGAAAACTGGATGGGGTGTCAACAACTGGAAGTTTCACCCTACATTTTTCTATTCTTCTAAAATGAAAGAAAAACAAAAAATAAAATTACTAAGTATTTAAAGAAGGTAATTAATAATAGTTAATAATAACTGGAATTCAAAAAGAAAGAAAATAGAAAGAGTTGGTGAAGTAGAATGACTAATATGAGAAAGTCCTTAAGAAGTGAAGAGGGAAATTAAGCATTGATGTTTAAGACTTGCAATTTTCTCTTGTTTTAATCTAGTAGCACACATGTAAACTGTTGATCTTATATTGACAGCTTACCTTTAAAATCTTGTAAGTCGAATTCACTAATATTCTAGTCATGTAAGTAACTAATGCTCGCTCTATTATTTAAACATTTATAATGTTTCCCCTTGTATTTTTAATAATGTCGTGGAGAGAGGAAGAGTAGGATTGGTAGTGTTGAATATACTAGAAGAAAAAAATTAATAAAATTTTTTTTTTTTTTTTTTAAATGTAAAATTTATTTTAGTAGACTTACTAGGATTATATAGCGTTAAGCCTAATAAAGACTTTAAGAGATAAGGTATTTACATGTAATTAAACAAAACCTCATAAAAATATTATGATAAACAGTATCTAATAAAAATGGACAAAATGATGAAAATATAAGAACAATTCTGATATCCTTCCTTGAGCAAAAACCAGCTATTTTCAGAAACAAGGAGAACCCCTGTTGCTGTTCTGAAATTTACAAACTTTTTAATATTCTGAGTCTGTTTTATTTGTGAAAAAAATGACTAGATATGGGTATATCAATTGGTTGTCAATAGTAGACAATAGATAATAATTGAGTCTTATTTTTGTATTTTGAAGTTCAAAGTGTTCTTTTCTGGAGCAAGTCCATAACTTGTATGTCTACTTTAAATAATGTACTTTACAAAAGCAAATATAATTTATTGTTATGATATTTAGAAATAATCAACACTTTTTATAAATACAAATATTTTCTGATGAAAATTAATGATAACTGATTTGATTTTAGCAATCCATGCCTATGATGCATAAGGAAATTCATATCTATAAGCTTCCTGCACCATTGAGATACACTTATGAATTAGTGAAAAATCTCATGAGCCCAAAAATTAGAGAAAGAATAATGGTAAGTTTAAGTTAACATTAATCATTAAAATATATATATATATATATATATATATATATATATATATATATATATATATATATATATATATTTCTGAATGAATTGAACTTTAGCTCTAAGTTTCATAGGAATGTAAACTTAATCATTTTAATTGTTTATTTCAGCTGCATGATACCCTTGAAGAACTTCACAGTAAACTTGACCCAAAAGTATTGCCAAAGGAGTATGGAGGAATTATTCCTATGGCAGACATGATAGGTAAAGATATAATTAATATTATGATGTATTCATAGGTGCCGACTTATGAAAATTATTGGGGGGAACCAAACTTTTGGATCATGGAGTGATGGGGTTGGAACGTTGTGGATATTCGGGAGCCCCTTGTGCCCCTAGTAGTTGAGGCCTATGGATATATTCATAAAAACTGATTAAAGATGACCATAGTAACTGTGAGTATTCAAGGAACTCTTGGCAAACCCAAGCTAAGATTTAAATTTAATATTAGAGAGCCCGCACAATAAATATCAGATTTTTAAAAATATTGATTTCCAATCAATTGTTTCCAGCCCAAGTTAGATTCACACTTTGAGTAAGGGGTGTTGGATTGTATATCACATTGTCCCCATGTAAGAAATTTCAATCTTCTAATACTTTTTTTTTTGTTGGTTATATTGATGTGAAATCTAGAAATTATCATATTTAATTTATGCTGGGGTCCCAAAACAATTTCCAGCATGAGAAAAATTATTAGAAATGGAGTTAATTAAAATTTTTGAATTATGATTTTTTTGGATACTACATTATAGATTAGTAGCTCCATTTTGGATTTAAATTTGTTAATGTTTTGTATTATTATTATTATATTGTTTCAATTATTTCATGAATAAACTTCACTGATTAATGTATATCTGTGGCTGACATGTCCATTAAATGTGCAAAAAAGCCGGATGAGAATCTTTTATGAATCACTGGACCTAATCAAGTCCGAGAAAAGGTGCTTCTTGGTACTATCCTTTCCCATTTATAAAATGTCATTTGTTTGTCACTGATTGTCAGCACATTTGCTTGTTACTTTCGTCAGTGACAGGTGTGAATAGAAAAATGCACTATATAAAAAATATGTATTTGTCAAATATGTATTTGATTTGTATATTATAACGTGTTCAACATCTAAAATTCACTTAAGGTTATAACTAAACATTAACAGAGAGTATCGTTGGCGTTTTTCTTTTCAATTTTCTGCCTCTGATTTTTGTAAGTAAATGGCCATGGCACAAGGATAGTGCAATATGAAAAACTGTAAAAAAAAGTTTATATATTATTATATTTGATTGTTACATAATAATTGGCATTATTGGAAAAATTAAATGTGATAATTTATCATTTCAGAACTGTGGAAGTTTCAATTGGTTGAAAAAAGAGATAGGATCTTAGCACTTGACAAAATGAAGCTTCTGGATAATTCATGTTTAATGAAAAAAACTAAATTACATAAAAAACAAGAAATTGATGTAGGAAGTTTTAGACAACTTGCAATAGACTGAATGAGGAATAAATGTACCTAAAATATTATTTATTTAATTAATTTTTTTCACTGATTACTTTATTTTATATAAGTGATATTATGTGCAAATATATATTTATAAAAAAAAATCTTCAGTATTTTTGTAATAATTAATTAATAATAATTAATTGTAATGTATTTTTAAAAATATTATATCTAAGATTGTAAACATTATCACCTTTGCACTAAAGAAACTATATTTGTAAATTTTAATGCACAAATGATAGTGCAAGATATATAAATGTTTATTTTGTAATAGAATATTGGTTTTATGATAATTATATGTATTTATTTTTTTTATTCTTATTTATTTTCTTTTTCATACAAATTATCCTTTTCCAACTATATAAGTAAGGAGTAAAATCAAGATATGTTGAAAGAATGCTTGTAAACTAAAAACCAGTTTCTTTAATAGCACTGTCGACTTTCTCTGAAATTACCGAATCGTAAGCTGCCTCAAAGTCTGCAAATAGTATCAACAGAGAGTGGCTGAATTCATACATTTTTTTAACCAGTTTTTTAAGGGTGAAAATTTTATCTATTGTAGACATATTCTAACGAAAACCTGCTTGACAATCAACAAATGTGCTTTCCATTTTTTGTTTATTATGAAATATCAGATTTTTCCCCACTAATTTATTTAAATAGTTGCAAATTAACTTTTAAAATTGGTTTAATAATAAAATACCCTACCTCTGATTTTATATTCAATTTTTCAAAATGCAGTTAGAATTTTGTCATCCACAAAATGAGTGGAAATGAAAATGACACAGGCGTAAGTTACGATATACCTTTTTCAAACCAAAAAATATATTTTATTTGAATATCAATCAGATAATATTACTAAATCAATAAAAGTTATCAATTTTTATTTTTCTATTTTTTCATACATACTTAAACTTATAGGATATCTGCCTTAAAATACTATAATTACTTACTTTTAAAACTGTGATGCCATAAATGAACATGCGGTAAATGATAAATAAAGACCATAAAGAGATATCGGTTTGGAATTTTGGACAAATTCGAAATCTGCTGATAACAAATATCTACATTAACACCTAGATTAATTTAATTTTTTGCTTATAACTTGAAAATCATGAGTTAATTGTTATATTTATAGAATACAGCTAATAATCTTCATTTTGTATTAAATTAAACCAAAGTAAATTACCTATGATTCTGAGTCTCATGTAGGTTTTGTTGGACAGCTCCTTTTTGAAGTAAGGGACGGTTGAAATTTATAGTCGCTTGCTCAACGTTAAAATTCTTAGTCAGAACATCAATAAACATAAATGACCTAAATATGAGAACTTTTCCACTAAAAATCCTTCCCAGTTACTATTAGAAATGACTACATAAATTACCAATGACAAATACAACCTTATCAAACCAAACAAAGTAAACAATTTCAGGCAACTAGAACTTTGTCACATTATTAGCTCGGCTATTTCTCAATCACAGGAATAGTTAGTTCCTTGTTCGCAGAAGACATAGATGAGTCATAAGCACCAATAATTTTATTTTGCTCAAAAATTTCAGTTAGAATAGTATAAAACCCAGGTAGCGATATGTCTATAAACTTATATTTATTTTAAAAATGAAGAAACGGTCCATTCAGTTCATATTTAAGAACTTTAAGTTCTTTAGTTATCTTTAACTAAAATAAAAAATTGACCATCCAAGACCTTCCCATCTAACTATATTTAATTGTCTGTTCTTCTGTGCCGGAAAAAATAAATAAATAAAATAACATGCCTTTTCATCTCACCATATTCAAGACACTGCTTAAGAAATTAATTTCCAATAGTGTGGTCTAGGTAGCGGTATTGTACCAAACTAAAATTTCTTATACGTCTAAATGCTAAACACTGAAACTTACTACCTAAACCGAAATCTATTGGAACTATGAAACCTGTTGTTTAAAATTAAATCAATAAACACATAAACACAAGAAAAAAACAATATTTTTTACATTGAAATAAAATATAGACTATTTTAGAACAGGATAAGCTTTGTTCTCTAAAGCTTGTATCTGGATGTTGTTGTAAAAAAATAATATAAAAGCAATAAGTAGTTTTTAAACACTCGTAGTTTTTAATACATTTTGTAACTTTTTTTTATTTCTTACAAATGGCGAACGCAAATGAAGAATGGCAGGCGTGCCCTGCAAGTCGGCATCCTGGGGCAATTGCCCCACCCTAAGGCGGGCACTGTAAGTGTGGATCATAGTTGTGGGACAAGTGCTTGTGGTGTGCAATACAATTATTCAATTATGGGCCATATTCCATTTTCATGACTTACTGAAGATCATGAAATATGAGACCTAGATAAGTTTTAACTTTATCCCCATGAAAATATTCAAATCTGTTCTAATTAGGTCAATTCAAATTATCTTAACATATTCATAATTATAATTTAATGTTTAATAAAATTAAACATTTATGTATACATCATTTCGAGTTATCAAATACCATATTTTTAACATTATTCCAACATTTTTTAAGAGATTTATTTAATAAACTCCTTACTGTCCAGAACTTTTTTTTAATTTTTGTATACTTTTTTTGTTTTATTTTGGAAAATACCTAAAATAACAATTAAAATTAAAATTTATTTAATAAATAAGAGTATTCATTCATGAGGTTGTGTGAAAATATTTCAATTCGATTCTGTAAATTTAAGCGTATTCATTTTAATAAACATGATTACAGCCGCATTCACTTGTACAACTGTAAATACAGCGTAATTTACTTTTAAGGCGGTGAATACGACCGTATTTATATTTACAGCTCTGAATACGTATCATCTGTGTTCATGTTTCTTTTTATGGATATAAATATATTCATATTTACATTCAAAAGTGCCATTAAAATAAATGGTATTCATATTTATATTTTTTAATATAAATATACCCATCTCTGCCCATCATGGGTCATGCATGGGTTTTAGTGGTGACTTTAATGATTAAAGTCACCACTAAAACTCAACCTTGTGCTTTATAATGCATGTAACAAAATTTTTAAGTAAATATACATATATATATATTCTTTTTTTCTGTTGAAATTTTGTTCTCTGGAAACTATTACCAAAACATATTGCATGCTAATAAAATAAATTCGTTATTGTGATTGAAGTGGTAACATTTTTTAGCTCATAGAAAACTGATTAAAACATGTACATATCTAAGAAAACTATAATTTCCTAAAAATGACATTACTGATTCCGTTCTTCCGATCGCCGTTGAAACTCGACATTTTGCCTCCAGGTAGACATGGAGTATTCAAGTCGGAGAGCCCGTGCAAAAAAATTGAAATGATCTGAAAAAAAATTTGAAGCATTTTTTTTAATATTCATAATAAATATTTATATTTAAAAAATGAGAGTATGCCACTCGGATTATGCTACCTGAAAATATGGTGACTTAAAAAAAATTTGTTTTTTCTTAATATTTTTTATGGATAAAAAAAATATTTTGCCTCAATTGAGGGCATTGAGTATTAGGGTATGTATCAACACAATTATACCATATATACAATAAAAGAAAAACAATAGAAAATTATAACAAAAGAAAAGAAAACTTGGAATAACACAATAAATCAAACATGAGACAATATTAAATTTAAAAATAAAAATACTTACAATATTTAAAGTCAGTTGAGTGATAACAAATTTTAGGTCAGAAACTTGTTGAGGAATGTAACGGGAAATTTATTGAGAAAATTTTGGGAAAAGTTTTTATTTTTGTAAGTTGTATATATGGGTTTAAACATGTAAAAAACTGAATTGTGAACGCGGGTCACCAAGAAAAACTGTGCTTCGAACGGGTGCCTAAACTTCGAAACGTCCAACCAGTACCTAAACTGTTTTAACGATAATCGCGGTCAACGGAAGCTAATTTTGACCAAATTTATCAAAATCTGAGACAAATTACTATAAATGGCCCAGCAGCTTGGAAATGAGTTTCCTAAGAGAAAAAAACTCAAATAATAAAAGCTGTAGGGCATCGAACTCTGCGTCGAATGAGTACCAACAGTTTTAATGTAGGTTATTTACTCTGCTCGAAATCTGTGATCTCCCGATGGCTGGAAATCGTTGATGAAGGTATGTGTGATTTTAATTATTTGAACTGTTACTATTGAGTTATTGTTGTTTAGAGTCTGCTATATACGGTATAGAACTGTTTTTCACCTCTCAATAGCGAAGGATTTTGAGAATCGAGTAATAAAAAAATCAACTGAATTTCATACGGAAATAATGAATTTCGGTTCGAGAGATATAATTGACCTGCATAAAAAGTATTTGTACTGAGTCAACGCGGAATTTGATGCTCTACAAATTTGATTCTAACAGTTTTTTTGCTAATTTCCAATCTGAACTGCCATTTATAGTAATTTGTCTCAGCTTTTGACAAAATTAGTAAAAATCAGCTTTCGTTTACCGTGATTATCAACCATAGCACTTAATCAGTTTACTAAGTTCAGGTACTCGTCCGACACACAATCTAATGTTCTTAAATTTCTTAACGAGTACGTTTTTTTTCTTCGATACACTGTTTAAGAGTTATAGGTAGTGTCGCCCAAAATTGGTCTTGGTCTTGCACTTTGCAAGACCAAGACCATGACCTAGACTGTTAAAAATAATCGATTTTTCGAATAAAAATTAAGGCAAAATAATCACTAATACTTGACAATTTTAGTTACTATATGTAAAGAATTGGTATAACCAATATACTTTTGCATTTAACTCTTCTAATTTTTCATTCCGGCTTAGTTAGGTTTCTCCTACCTAAAAAATTACTGTAATATCTCTGTAGTAATAAGCTAATAGGTAACTGCAAGACTGTAGCGCAAGACCTAGACCAAGAGGAAGACGGAGTGCGCAAGACCAAGAATCGTCTTGGTCTCGCATTTGGACAACACTAGTTATAGGTGAATACAGAATATCGTGAAAATCTACCTTTTTGGTTGTAAAAAGTTATCCGTTTGTGGCTCGAGTTAGCAATTTTCTTTTGCCTGTTTAAACCCTTATGTACAAGTTAAAAAATAAATACTTTACCCACATACTCAATAAATTTTCCGTTTCGATTCTCAAGTTACTGGCCTAATCGTCTATAAATCAATCGCCATTTTTGAGATGACATGATTAGACTGCAAGACTTATAATAATTTTTTTTTAATTAATAAGCTTCAAGTTCGTATTACTATGTGTTTAATCACTTTCTACAATTTTTATTATTAAAAAATAAAATTGTAATACATTTTATTACATTAATTAATATATTTGGAACTTACTCTGGTAAATGTTACATTTTTAAATGCTTAAACTAAAAAGAAATGTCTTCTTGTAATAATATTAATCACTTGGTGCTTAAGTCACTTACTAATTACACAGGATATTTTAAACGTAAAACGCGAACCGAAATAAATGTATGTATTTCTTGTGAAATCACTTTTATATCATTACTTAATGGTTTAAAGAAAGTCCCATTCAACGCGACTCGAACAGAGAACCTTAATTTTCTAAAAGAGCCGGTACTGTTTTGAAAATACTCACTAAAATCGAGTATTTTAGTGATACACCTGATCCAGACTATAAGAGCCTGTGCTAAAGAAACAGGCTCAGTTTCGTTATCAATTTTATACATTGTTCTAAATGCAAAACATAACACATTAACACATATAGTCACACCTTTATTACTCACTTTTATTTTATTACTTTACAGAATGGTAGCTTCGGAAAGAACGCTATCCAAATTTGACTGCCCTTGCTCCTTCCCTAGCTTCATCCAAAGGTTGCCGCAGTTTACCAGAATTTCTCCCTGGAATTTCCAGGGCATCGTTTCGACTGTTGTGCCTACCCTTACCATCATTAAAGTTATCTTTATTGCCATCAGCAACCCACAAGCAAACAGTGCACCGAAAGGATCAAAGACGCAGATTTTCCATTCTGTTAGGGGGAAGGGAGAGACGATGGATAATCCCAAAAAAGGTTCCGGAAATTTATATTACATATAAAAATTACAAGTGATAATTAAGTAAAACGGAGAATATAATACTATATATAAAAATAAAATGACCATAGGGTATATATATTTTTTTGTGTGTGTATGGTTGTATTTGAAAATATGTTAACAAACCAACTGAATATGTTTCATAGTTTTTTTTGTATTTAAAGGTTTGAGTCAGTGAGATGAATTCATCACTTCACATTTGCTACCGAAAATGTATTAAAACCTTAACGTAAAAATTAAAGAATGTTATCATAAAATCTTGGGATATATTGCTACATATAATTATCATTGAATATTAACTAAAATTTCTACAATAGGAACATAGTGACTAAAATTTTTAATAGGAACATAGAGCGTGCTAAAATACATATGTATATCTAGGCAGTACCTTAGTCATCTAGTCGACTTTTCCAATTTCCTTAATTGACTTAAGTTTACATAATTAGGAACCTCCTAAGATCTTAACATATACATAATTATAATTTTATGTTTAATAAAATTAAACCTTTATGTATACATCATTTCGAGTTAGAAAATATCAACTTTTTAACATTATTCCCACATTATTTAAGAGAATTATTTAATAAACCCCTTATTGTACAGAATTTTATTTTAATTTTTTATACTTTTTTTTGTTTTATTTTGGAAAAAATCTAAAGTAACTAATAAATTAATATTTAAAGAAAGGATATGGTCCGGGGTGGCGGTCATGAATAACAAAATTTATGTTTGAGAGAATGTTGATATATTTTATTAAATTTAAATTCATAAATTAATATTTATTTAATAAACAAGAGTATTCATTCATAAGGTTGTGAGAAAATATTTCATTCACTTCTGTAAATTTAAGCGTATTCAATTTAAGTGCATTCACTTGTACAACTGTAAATACAGCCGTATTCACTTTTAAAGTGGTGAATACAGCCGTATTTATATGTACATCTGTTCTGATTAGATCAATTCAAATAATCTTAACATATTCATAATTATAATTTAATGTTTAGTAAAATTAAACGTTTATGTATACATCATTTCGAGTTAGCAAATACCATATTTTTAACATTATTCCAATATTTTTTAAGAGATTTATTTCTTAAACTCCTTACTGTCCAGAACTTTATTCTAATTTTTGCATACTTTTTTTGTTTTATTTTGTAAAATACCTAAAATAACAAATAATTTAAAATTTATTTAATGAATAAGAGTATTCATTCATAAGGTTGTGTGAAAATATTTCCATTCACTTCTGTAAATTTAAGCGTATTCATTTTAATAAACGTGAATACAGCCGTATTCACTTTTAAAGTGGTGAATACGGACCTATTTATATTTACAGCTGTGAATACGTTTCATCTGTATTCATGGTTCTTTTTATGAATATAAATATATTCATATTTATATTCAAAAGTGTCATAAATATAAATGGTATTCGTATTTATATTTTTTAATATAAATATTCCCTTCTCAACATTAAAGTTTAATCTTTGACGAGATTCCCGGGAAAAATCTCTCTTGACGGCCCTGGAAGTAGTTTTTGAAATATACCTAATATGATCAGAGATATTGAATGATGTAAGGAGATATTTGAAAAAATAAATATTGGAAGAAGAATATCACAATATGAAAATTTGCATTTTTCTATTTTCTTTTATTTACTTTCTTTTTTTTTTGTCTTCTATTCACCTATATTTCTTTAGAGAGAAAAAAAAAATCATATTTTTAACTTTAATATTTACCGCACTAATAATTAATTTATTTTTTAAATGAAAATCTGCTATACAGTAATTCCACGATTTATATTTAAATGATCCGAAAAAAATGAAGATTAACTTTCATTTTTAAATAAAACCGTTATTGTTAAAAAATTGTTGTTGACAAAATGTCCAATTTGATAATTTAAAGTGAATTACGGGCAGCAATAAACCTGAATAAGCAAAGTTTAAACACTTCTGTGAAATTCCTCTGTTTCATTTTTTACCATTTTGACACTTACCAAAAAAATACACATATAGGCATTTCCAGTATATGAGTTTCCAAAAATTTTGTGAAACGGGTAATATAACAAGAGAAGTATAACTATCCCGCCATAGAAGCCTTAAATACGTTAATCGACGAAGTAGTTAATAGGACCCGAAGGTTTTTTGCCTGACTATCCGCCGGTGGGGGTAGCCCTGGTGGGGAGCTAGATAAGGGAGGGACCACGCTCTGAGGGTTCAGTCCGCCTTCAACCATGAGCATGCTCGCAGAGCCCTTTATCGTCAGCTACGTCGTAGACCAGTACGTCGACACCTCCAGCGACTCCTCCCTCCAGGAGCCGTTCTCTCTTCAGGACGATGAGGCCGAGAAGAGGAAGAAGGGAGTACCAGCTGTCGTCATGAAGAAGAGGCGCTTGGCAGCGAACGCAAGGGAGCGCCGGAGGATGCAGAACCTCAACCAGGCCTTTGACAGGCTGAGGACGGTACTCCCGCAGATCGGCAACGACAGGCAGCTTTCCAAGTTCGAGACCCTCCAGATGGCGCAGACTTACATCAACGCCTTGTACGATCTTCTAAGGTAGCCGAGTTTTAAAGAAAATTTCGCTCCCTTATCCGTCCAGAATTTCCAGTCATTAGTACTTAACTTTATTTCTTAACTAATTATTTAATTATGATGCCAAAATATCTTTTTATTAGTAGGATGTCAATCTTAGATATGTACTTAAATTCATTTTCATTTAAAGTCTTAAGGCATAATTTGATTTGTATGACTTCATTCGTATATACAAACTCTAAGGGAAATGACTGAATAACTTCGTGAAACGTAGCTTACGATCTAATTATTTAAATAATTACAAATGAAATTGCATATTTCGGTCATAATCTATTTGTCATATACCAGCTTGGTTCTCAAGAGGGACCTTTCAGACCAATGATAAAAATTCTAAATATTGACGTTCTATGTGGAATTTTTTACCAGACATATTATAATATTGATTTACTACTCAAGTAAAATAGAAACAGATTTAAATTATTTGAGAAACTTCGGATTATTTTAAAATACTGAAACTTTGATTCCCGTGTATTAATTCACTTTTTCAAAATTACCTTATTTTATTTTATATTATTCATTAGCGATCCATACATTCTTTCTTTGAAATTCACTGTTTTATGTTTTTTGTAATTTTTTAATTAGATTCATATTTACCGGTCTGTAGATTGCTTTCAGTTTTACATCCTAAAGTTAAGACGTTGAGTTACTTTTTATTACCTTAGGTATATTATTGTTCTGATACTTTTTATGAACTCTTTGATTGACGTCCTCAGGTTTACTGTGTTTAAAATATTGTAAAAAAAGAAAGTACAAACAGGGACCAACCCGTGACAAGGTTGGAGCAAGAAGAGTGGTTCCTCAAGTTCTAGGAACGATTTCCAGAAGTGGAAGCGTTGTTATTGTTCGACAGTGGCCATCTTCAAGAAAAATCACGTTCTCTTGCCATTCTCACCTCTAAGTCATCATTTTCTTTTTCTGTCTTAGTCATTCCTATTTGTAAGATAGTTTGAGAATGTAGTGTCTTATTTACCATATTTTTTAAGTTTTGTATGATCTGTATTTTTTGTCGTCTGTAAGATGCAGTTAACCAATTTATACCAAAATAGTTTTAGATGTTAAAAGTCAAAATATTTCAGACGACTCATAGTTGCCATGTGTAGTATTTGAAATTTCTAATCATATACAGAAAAGAAAATTTGTCAAACTTTACAACATTCATTTCAAATAATTATTATTTGTGTTTTTTTTTTAAATTAAGGATATGATATTTTAAAAATCATATACTGGAATCATGTAAATATAAAATACCTATAATGAGTGAGTACCAATTGACCACGAGTTCAATGATATTTGCTTATAAACTGGTAATGTTAAAAAGTCATATATTGTGTTTAGTTTAATTATTGTTATTATTTTTGTAAGTGAATCCAAGATGGAAAATTTATAGACTTAAATGAAACTCTGTGATATATTCTAAGTTAGCAAGTAGTTTAGTTTTGACTATTAGGTTATTTTAAATATGAATAAACTAAATTTTTATTAAATGGAATTTTCTTATTATATAGTACCTATGGTTCCCTGATCTTTTAGGTGTTCAATATAATCACATTATTATCAAGGTGATACTATAAAAATATTAATTTCATTATAAAAGAAAAAAAAAGGAAATTCAGAATTGAAATTATATATAAAGAACAATACTTTTATAGATATTCAGTAAATTATTGATACGTTAAGATTATTTTTTAGAAAAAAATCTAAGTTAAAAATATCAAACATCAAAGCATTCATTTATTGAGATAATAACATAAATGAATAAGTACCTTTGTACAAATAATTATTAAATATTTATTTAGCCATACATTTTTTTTTTAATATGTTTCGTTAAGAAAAGAAAAAATATAAAAAAATTAAAGTGTTTTGAATATATTTGTAACGCATAACTGTATTGTTTATTAATTTATTATTGACTAATTTTTACCTCAGAAATCAAGAAGAGAAAACGCATTGAATTCTACATCACGTTACAAATACATTATTCTTGTAACCGTTATACAATTAATAAATTTGGTGTATTAATATTATATATATATATATATTTTAATATTATATAATAGTTACATAATTAATATAGTTGGTTCAACTAAAATTCTTTACTTATCAGAAGTCCAATTAGAAAAATAGAAGGAAAGTTTTACCAATAGAGAGAAACACTTTATTTTCATAAAAATGTAAAATATAAAAGATTGCTGCCCAATTACATTGAAAATATTATAAATATTATTTCAATAAAACTTATTAAAAATCAGAGGCTTTAATTGAACTTTAGGAATAGAAGTAAAATGAGAATCTAAAGTTTCAAGCGACTTCAATACGATAAATTACTCAGTATAAGATTATATTTTTGGATGATTTTTTAAAATTTTCTATCAAATTTCGTATTTGTTTATTTATATAAATATATTATTCTCAGGATATATTTTTAAATCATATTTTCTCAATATGTATTAGTTTAAGATTAAGTTCAGGGGTGTCCAAAAGAAGCTGACATAACAAGTTGCCTCATCAAAATTATTACACGGTACATGAATTTTACAGGGTTTAATTTTCAAGGAAGCTTATTTTTATGGAGTGAAGAACTTTTATGGAAATAGGGAACCATTTATTGTGAGGGTTTCAATTTGGAAGAACTTTCAAACAAGGAAAGAAGAGTAAAAATTAAACTACAACTTTTACTGGCGCCGTTGTTAAGAAAAGAAGAAAAATAATGTATCATGGGAGAGTGCGTGTACTATAACCCTCGGAGGGGGAATGGGCACCCCTGAATAAACTTAAATCATATAGAAAGGTCTCTAAATTTTAATTTTAGTGTACATTTTATAAGTCCTTCTTCAACTACCTGCTCACAGTTTAGTGATGAAGTAATTCAAAATTAATTAAATAAATAATAAGAAAAATTAATAAAGTGAATAGTTAGGCCGGTTTTAATGAACCGATGCAAGTTTCACGTGAGCCGGTCGAAAATGGAACAGTAGGTAAATCATAAGAAATAGATAGGGCTAAATGAGGCTCATGTCCTATTCTGGCATTGAAGTCTCCATGATTAATTTTTTTTTTTTTAAATATTTTATAAACAATTCTTTACTTGATCTTACATTTCTCTATTAGTGCTTTAACTGTGACATCTATAATTTAGATAGTTATAATTAAAGACAGTTAATGTAAAACAATCTAATTATTTATATGGGTTATTCATGATTGCTTTGCTAGAGAACTTTTTTTTTCTTTTTTCTTAAAGCCTCTGAAAGCGATTTATTATCTCCACTCCATGTTACTTCTCTAAATCATAGGAAATAATTCATCAATAACATACAAGGTATATTTTTTCTTAAGCCTAATCCGTTGAGGCGGTTGACGGTACAGATTATTTTAAGTCATAAAATACAAAAATTCTTGAAACTCTATGATCTTTAAACACACCTATCATATCAACTCATAGGGTCATCTCTTACTTAAGTTATACTGACACCGAAATGAGATTTCTATAATCGAAGTAGTGTCTTCATATTTATCTTCTAATCTATATTATTATTTGGCTTTTTTGAAACTTCAATTTTTCAAAAAAATAATTAAGTGTTTGATCGGGTAAGTTTTTATAATAACCAAAAAAAAACTCTGCTGAACAGGGTTAAGACTTTTTCTACTTCATAAATATCATCCTTCATTATTTTAGATTTGTTTCGTTAAATTATAATTTTTTAAATATTTGATATATTGATCTATATACTACGATATAAATATACATATTTAAAAATATGAATAAATATATATTCATTCAATCTGGATTTATTAACTATTATTGTATAATTTCTGTCTGGCTGTGCATTTTTTATATTTTTATTATTATCATTAATATTTTTTGTTTTTGTAGCGCTGATGAAATCTAGCCTAAAACGTTGGAAAATTTATTTAAAAAAAACGCTTGTTTTAATTTGACTTAACAATGTTGTTGTTACTATTTAACCAGTGATACTAAAAGCTGTTGGGGGGAATACATGTGAATTGAAAACTCAGTTTCTCCAAAACAACTATTCCGACTCTATTGAATAACACTATCACACTCTCGGGGTGGTCTATGCCAAGTTATTATTAAGCAATTATGACACCCTTCCGCCAGGAGGTGTGGAAAGAGAGTGGTGGAGAAGAAAACCAACAATTAAAGATCGGTAACCGTTAGCCTATAGGCGAAAAAAAACTCCATCAATTGGAGGAACTACACTCACACTTTTTTATGAAAGGAAAGGGTTGGTGAGGAGCAATTGGTTGAAGCCGATGGAGATGAGTAGTTAGTTACGAGGCAGGTAGTGAGGGCTTTTGCTTCCGATATAGCTCCCTTCAACATCTTCAAGGGTAATCATTTTTTTTTTTTAGATTTGTATAGTAATATTTTATTATTACTTATGAATGTTATTGCACTACCTTACTTTTCAATGGAAGTTACATTGACAAGTTTTATTTCTTTGATCATCAATCTTTCTACACATTATGTATACACTTATTTTTATATTTCCATCCCTTCCCAATCCTCCTTTATTTCCTTTGTTTTTATTAGAAAAATATTTGTGTTTAACAGAAAACGTGTATATTATAATAGAAAATGAATAAATAATATATAAATAGATGTATTTTACAATACATAGAAATTGTTATATTTCGTCTGTCGACGTCTTTGGGTTATTTATTAGCGTATTTAGTATTAGCGTATTTATTAGCGTAGTTATTGATTATGTATTTTTTTATTATTAAATAAAATACATAATCAATAATATATTTATATTATTAGTTATATCTTAATTCTCTGAGAGAGATGGGGGAATTCGTTTTAGAATCCTAGAAAATTATTATGTGGATTCTATGGCAAACACGGGCGGATCTACGGGGGGGGGGGCTTTCGGGCTGAAGCCCCCCCCAAAATGGAAAAATATAACCATGTTTTATGGGAAAAAAATTTAAAAAATACCTCTTAAA